TTTTTTTTTTTTGGTATTATTTTACACATGAATGTGTAGATGCGGTTATAGTTGCTTTGATTAGATTTATTTATCCGTTACTTCTGTATTTATGATCGTTAATTTGTCTTCGAATTAAATGATTTTGTTATGTTCTTTTCGGTTTAATTACTTTCATGTTCTCATTTGTCTGTTAATGTTAATCTCAGCAAATGACAAAAATGTATTGATGATTTTTATTTTTCTTAATTTTAGGGTTTTTCTGTTGCTTCATATGGATTTAGCTCGGGATCAGTCAGAAGATCAGTTCTGGCACTAAAATCGGATCCATTAAAGCCTCGGATCGATCAGATCCGAAAACAAGCAGGGGATCATAGAAGTTTAGCTTTAGCTTATGCTTCCTATGCGCGGAAACTCAAACTTGAAAATTCAAAGCTTGTTAGGAATTTTGCGGAACTCTCTCACAATTACACCGATCTGCTCTCAAAAGCTTCTTATCAAGCATTATTTGATGCAGAGACGAATTCAATTGACGAGTCAGTGCTGAGGCAGTTTGAGAAAGATGTGAAAGCACAAATTAAAGTCACACGACAAGTGATTTCCGAGGCGAAAGAATCTTTTGATAATCAGCTGAAGATTCATAAACTGAAGGATAATATCTTTGCATTAAATGAACAGTAGACGAAAGCAAAAAAACAGGGTGCTTTTTCAAGCTTGATTGCTGCCAAGTCGATCCCCAAAAGCTTGCATTGCTTGACTTTACGGTTGATGGAAGAGCGAATTGCACATCCCGATAAGTATACAGATGAAGGGAAGTCCCCCAAGATAGAGTTGGAGGACCCTAAGCTTTATCATTATGCAATTTTCTCGGATAATGTTATTGCTGCTTCTGTCGTGGTGAACTCAGCTGTGAAAAACACAAAAGAGCCATGGAAGCACGTGTTTCATGTCGTGACAGATAAAATGAATCTCGGGGCTATGCAAGTGATGTTCAAAATGAGGGATTATAATGGGGCTCATATTGAGGTGAAGGCTGTGGAGGATTACAAATTCTTGAATTCTTCTTATGTTCCAGTGCTTAAACAGCTTGAATCTGCAAACTTACAAAAGTTCTACTTTGAGAATAAGCTTGAAAATGCAACAAAGGATACAACAAATATGAAGTTCAGGAATCCAAAATATCTTTCGATTCTGAATCATCTCAGGTTCTATTTACCTGAAATGTATCCAAAGTTGCATAAGATTCTGTTCTTGGATGATGATATAGTGGTTCAAAGGGATTTGACTGGACTTTGGGAGATAGATATGGATGGAAAGGTGAATGGGGCCGTGGAGACATGTTTTGGATCTTTTCATCGTTATGCACAGTACATGAATTTCACCCACCCTCTGATCAAAGCCAAGTTTAGTCCCAAGGCATGCGCATGGGCTTATGGCATGAATTTTTTTGATTTGGATGCTTGGAGGAGGGAGAAGTGCACCGAAGAATATCACTACTGGCAGAATCTCGTGAGTTTGCATTCAAATATTATAAGTGATTATTTGTTTTTATTGTTCATTGTCTATTGTTTCTATAAGAGTTATAGAAGTGCATCTTTACTTGACATAATGGCCCCAAGCATTTTCAGCCCTCTTGAGTTTATCTAATCTTTATCTTCTTACTTCTCATAGATGACAATGTGATAAACCTGAGGACAATTAGAAGTTTTTTTTTTCAATAATGGAAAATTATTTTATGACAGTAGTAGGCTGAATTTTAGTACTTGATTCTTTTGGCCTGAAACTGTACATATCCAGTGTCTTTTCTTTTCTTTTCCTTTTTTTTTTAACTGTTTCACATATATTTAGCCAGTTTGAAATTTTTTTTCTGTATTATTTCTTGCTAGTATAATTTTATGTGTAATCATTTGCAGAATGAGAATCGAACACTGTGGAAATTAGGGACATTACCTCCAGGTCTTATTACATATTACTCAACAACCAAGCCACTAGACAAGTATTGGCATGTTTTGGGACTTGGCTACAATCCAAGCATAAGCATGGATGAGATTAACAATGCTTCAGTCATACACTTCAATGGGAATATGAAGCCATGGCTTGACATTGCAATAACCCAGTTCCGTCCACTTTGGACTAGGTATGTCGACTACGAAAACGAGTATGTGCAGGCCTGCAATTTCGGTCTATGAATATGTGCTTGCAGGAAAAGCAAAGCTAGTCCTGCTGACAACTTTGAGGCTTATTACTGCTCCTTGCACGTAAATTTTTTCTTCAAATTAGTATCCTCGTATTTTTCACTTGTATTCAAGCTTTAGCATTCACCTGTTGGTTGATCATGTTATTTGCTCACATATGTTCATAAGTTATCAGTGGCTGAAAGCTAATTTTATACAATGTGACTTGCATTCAGAAACTTCAGCTATTTGAAATTTAGTGTAGATGATCGACATAATTGACGATGCCTATTGATGTATAACAATGTCACAATCCTTTTAGTTTGCTTCTGAATTTTGCTAGAAACTCTGTTCTTTACTGTTTTCAGGTCATTTTCAATTTTCGAAAACTCTGAAAACACGTTTACTTATCTATTTTGATAAATGAATTTTCAAAAAGGAGTTTAAAATTTACAAAGAAAACTGAAAATGCAAAGGGTCGTTTTAAATGTTTTCAGTTAAAAGCAAGCCAAAAATTCATTTTTTTTATTTTCAAAACAATTTTTCAAAATGACAAAAAGAACGGGTTTTCAACGATCTAAAAATGAACATTCAAAATACAAAATCCAAAATGAATTCAAAATTTAAAACTAAAAATTGAAACACGAAGAGAATAACTCCTTATTTTTTGCTTGTAGCATTTGTTAAGTTTTTAAATTCTACAAATGTCTTTGTATCTGATAGAAGTATTGAGGATTCTCAATTTCAGTCACCAAGGATCAGCAGGTAGGCACATAAAAGACCTAGAAAGAAAACACTTTAATGTAATGGTGCAAATCTATCTCTCGGAGTTAGCTGCGTGATGGCAGTGCATTACTTTTTTACTGAGATTTTGTTTTGTTCTACATAATAAAGAAAAAATGTTGTTACCACGACAATGCAGCGAAGAAGCCCATATTACTGTCTTTGGTTTGAATACAAAATTTTCTCTTAACCTGCTTTTTTCCTACTCTCTGCTATTTGGAAAAAAGTCTCTCTCGGTGCCAATGTTTGCATAGAGTGAAATCACTTGATCTTGATACACATGATTTTTCCTCTACGTATATGTTTTGAATGGAAGACCCATGCATATTATGGTTACGGGATTTTGCCAGACGCAAAGGATGAGATTATGCACTGGGCAATCAACACAGGTCCTCCCATCATATGCATTTGCTACCAGAGCCATCATGCTCCTTTCTGACCAACTCTAAATTTATGTAGTCTTATCATGCTTGGGGTGCACATTAATACAAGAATTATTCACTAGACAGCACTTAACACTAATCAAACAAAATAATAAAGCACCGTGATTGACAATTTTACCATATCGTAATGAAAATTGCAAAGAAACATCTTTCCAAGAATGGATAGCAATAAAGGCTCCCAAAAATGATTCATCCATACAAAGCCCCAAAATGTAGGAAGAAATACAACTCCAGGGCATCAAATGGCACCAGTAAAATAGCAAAGAAAACCTACTTATCGTCTACTAATCAACTATACCAACAAACGGAAAAATTGTGAAAGAAATTAGTGAGAAAACCCTATAAAAAAATTCAGACGGTCCATCATCATTAAACTGTCTACCTGCTGGATGGATAACCACTTAAAATTTACCAGAATTTAAAAGTAAAGGCTACAAAACCACTTGCTGACCATACTAGCGTTCTCAAGCAGTTGCAGAAACCCGAGGTGTCATAGTTTTTGCAGCCCCATTGACCATTCCACCAGCACGGCTCATGCGGCCAACATTGCCATTGATGTTGTCAGCCCTCTGATATCCATAACCTCGGTTTGACGATCCTCCCCGACTACCACCTCTATTTCCAAACTCATTCCTGGCATTAAAATCACCACGGCCATAACCTCTTCCACCTCCATAGCTTCCACGCCCCCTCGCTCCCTCATTTCTGAATCCAGGACCCCTTCCAGATTGGAACCTTCCCCTAGTGTTCCCTGCAGCTTTGAAATGAAATATTCCCAAAAACAATTTAATCTCACAATAGTTAAAAAATCAAAGTATTAAAAGAAATACTGCTAGAACAAAGACAAAATAAGCAAAAAGGTCTCTAGCTAAATACATAGTCGAAGAAAATAAAGCATACCCGTCATCTAGGATATACCCATCATATATATATATATATATAAATTTTTTTTTTTTTACCAAATTCAAAACAGGAACCGACATAGTCGGATATTCATTCTGAAAGTTTTATATATACCCTACATATTCTTTTTTTTTTTCCAATTTCAAAACAGGAACCAACATATTCGGATATTTATATATTACTCACAAATTTGGATTTTTGCCTATAGGCTATTATAAGCATAAATGTCATAAATTAACTCCAAACTAGGAAGCGAAACATTGATAGAGACCACTTGCCTCGAGAATTGGTAGACTTCTTTTCCTCAACAATAGCTTGGCGCCCACCAATTGCAACAGGAGAAGCCTGAAACATAATGGATATAGGATATAAAACTGAGATGACAACATCAGTAAAAACTACGAACAGATCGTGGAGGTTAAGCTGACTTGAATTAATACAATGCTCAACCAGCAACACAACTTCCACTCATCAACTCCAATCCCACCTCCAACCCATTAAAGTAGGGTGGGGAAAAGAACTGGAACAAACAGAATCAAACCAAAACGGACCATTCGATTCGGCTAGGTTCTGCTTAAATTTTAAACAGTTCTAGCAAGAACCAGTTATAACCCAACTTTCTGTTTTTAATTAATTATGTTTATTTGTTAATTTGGTGAATGAATTTTATTAGACAATATTTTCTATAACGATGGAACTTTCCTTTGCATTGAATGAGGCTCATTGTTTTAATTTGAATGTGAGTGTTAACTTTTGGTGATAGAACTTTGTAATGTAATTTGCATTAATAATTTAAAAATTCCGATTACGGAAACGAACCCAACCAAACCAAACCGGAACCATTAGGTTCGGTCCAATGGACCCATTATAACAAAACCATTGCTTCTCAGTTCAATTCCGGTTCTCTTCAAAACCAAACTATTGGAATCACACCCACCCCTACATTAAACAAATAGATGCAAAAATGCAGGTTTACCTGATAATGCGTTACTCTTATACATACCCACAAAAAGATCTTATAATCCATGAATCTAATTTCAGCCCTTTTTCCAAACAAATAACAACAATCTAAGCCCGTGTTCGGCTACCGTTTTATAATTTGTTTATAAATGGTCAAACCACTTTTATTTGTAAGACCCACAAGTACTACCCACTTATACCTATTTATAATTTAAACCATTTATAAACAACTCCCAAGCATGCTCAAGTCTTATTCACATTAAAAGGCTTGTGAAAACAAGTAACATCTGAACAACCAGAAGTACAGAGTAATTGAGACCATCTATGATCTATTTATGATAAAAATATATAGCCCCTGTTTGGTAGAGATTAAGAGCCCGTTTGGTGCACATTAAAATGAGAGAATGCATTTTTTTGAAGTGATGTGATGAGAAATATGTGGTTGAAAAATAAGGAAAAGTTATTGATGTGATGAAAAATATTACTTTATTGAACAATGTGTGGTTGAAAATGAGTAGAAGAATGAGAATGAAAAAAATAATGTGGATCAAACAGGGGCTAAAATTGAATTTTTAGTAGATTTTGATAAAAGTTGATGAAATGTGGGGTTGAAAAATTGTGGATCCCATGAAATGTGCGGTAAAAATTAATTGTTAGACTTTGACTTGAGATTTTAATTGGATTTTAATCCAAACCAAACAAGATGATAGTGTTTCCAACCCAAAAAATGAAGAAAGAGACAACATATTAATCTAATGGAACAAGAATATCAATTATTCCCCCACCACAGTTTCATTTTGGCCAAGAAACTACGGCAATACGATGAAATAAAAATTTAAAAAAATAATAATAAAAGTGATTCTCATATGCAGTCAAGAATGTATGCTAATATCACAAAACACCACATACCTCAATAGCATTTTGGGCAGCCATGGCCTCCTCAAATTCCACGAAGCCAAAACAAAATGCTTGTTGCTGCAAAACAAATATTAGGGAAGAGATTTTTAATGAACATTTGAGAATAGTGCCAAGACATAGCATTTGGTAGACTTGATACATACTCTGTTACTTCTAACTTGAATGCCATCATTCTTGATTGCCCCAAATTTCTTAAAAACTTCCTCAAGTAAGGACTCGGTAGCATTCATAGGTAGGCCCTTTATATATATTGAGTAACCATTAGCTGCTCAAAGTAGATAACATGAATTTTAAATTATTTCAGTATAGAATACAACAAAGTCACAGAACAATTAATTAATTGACAATAAACAGGCAATAGAATTCTCAGGCATATATGTCTTCACCCTCTTGGTTATTCCCAATATCAGTTGCATCTGAAGTATAAACAGGTGGATCAGTTGGTGGTGGTAAAGGTGGGTTCACTTGCTCCATGATCTTTGGGGGAGCTCTCCGTGGAGCATATGGTGGCGGTGAGAAATTTGCAGTGCTTTCCTTGAGATCCATCACCTAAAACATATTGCAAAAGGCAATGTTAAACTACCACTGGATTGAAAATGGCCAAAAGAAAAGATAGATGGAAGTAAATGAATGTTCAAATCACAGTGTAAATTAGTAATACAACTGTTTGGGGTTGCTTTTGTTAGGAGCTAGGCTTGTGTTTATCTTTTTATTTTCTTTCCAATGTACCAAAAAAATGTAATACCATTATGAATAGATTAAGGTGACGAAAATTAACACAATAACAAGAAGATGAATAGATAAATGAAAAAGAATATAGCCTGCAGACAGCTTGTAGACACTTACAATAGAAGCATAAGACTTCTTTGGCACTTCTTCATTTTGAGCACTAGATTCAGCCTCCATCTGAGAATCTTCCTGTACTTCATCAACAACATCAGCTACTGGAACTTCCTCTTCTGGAATTTCTTCTTCGACGATTTGCAAATCTACATTCTCATGCGGGTTGTGAACTTCTCCCCCATTAGCTTCATCTGTGGATGGAGTACTTTGCTCAGAAACATGAATCTGAATTGGAGCTGGACCTGCAAATGATGAAACAGTAAACAGATGTTTTCATGTCCAAACAAACATGAAGAATACAAAGAAACGAAGCATTAATTTTTTGTTACTTGGCTCTGGAGTAATGGGTACCACAACATCGCTGACCAAATCAGGGTTCACATTGACATTCTCCATATATCGGAAAATGTCGTTCAGAACAAAGTAGCCCCCCTTGTCCTGTGGTGCGAGGAAGAAAGTTTGAGAGAAATTCCGAACTGTATTGTCCTTCCCAGACAGATATCCAGTCACCAGAACATGAACTCCCCCATTGAAGGACTCTTGGGCATCCACCGACTTGATCTCTGCCCGTAAGTCCTCATAGTTCAGTGACAGAATCTTGTCATTGATTGCCTGTATAGTCATATCCAACCACTAAGTTTGTACACCTCAAATTTTCAATTTAAATCAGCTAACTTTCAACTAACTGCTTCTTAATTGAACAAGTCTTTCTAATGACAGCTAATAAATACACTTGCCAATAACAGAGATCTCACAATCTAGAATCCCAACATATTGAGAATTGAACATAACAAAGTTTACAAAGTTGATGTCTGCCCTCTATGTTTTCTTGCAGCGAACTTCTTAGCAACAATGGCCAGATATTTAAGTTTCCTATACCAATCATTTTCAGCATAATGCCACCAGTATTCAACAATAACTAATATACTAACTAATAATACAATTATGCACATAACAAGAGACGGAAATATTACTTGCATAGTGGTGGTGATGCCCATGGAGCCATCATCTTCAGGACGGCCAAGCTTACTGATGTCCTGATAAAAACGATGGACAATCCCCGGCGAATGGTGGAGTACGTTATAATATTGGTGCACAAATGCATTTCCAACCTAATTCTCATTAAAAAACAAACTAAATAAAAAACCCAGCTGCCAAATTATAAATTCACGAGAGCAAAAAAAATGAAAACTTACAAGTTGAGCAGAGACTGGTTGCTGAGCCGCCACTGTAGCTTCCATAGCCAACGTAGAAAACCAAATCAAACCCTAAACACATAAAAACAAGTTTATTGATTCATTCATACAAACACTAGCTTTACAGATCCTTTTATACCCATAGGCATTTCGCCAAACACATATATAATATGTCGTGAGTGTCAG